CCGCGGGGGCGCCGCCAGCCTGGTCCCGGGAAGAGGGGGAGGACTGGGGGGCATCGGGTGGGTGGCTCGATCTGTGCCAGGTGCAGGGTCTGCTTGCTGGGTGCTGGCAGGCTTGCACCTGGCACGGGCACCGTAGCCAGCCCGTGCCCCTTTAAGGGGTCCGGGGCCGGGAGGGGGGCAGTAGAGTTTCCCTGGTGTTGGCCAGAGTGGCCACCAGGGAAACCTGGGGAGGGCTAGCCTCCCACTAGTTCGAATTAAGGGTCTACACAGCCCTTAATTCGAACTAGTAAGTTCGAACTAGGCTTAATTCTCGTGGAATGAGGATTACCTAGTTCGAACTAAGCGCTCTGTTAGTTCGAATTAAATTCGAACTAACGGAGCGCTAGTGTAGCGCCTATGAAAGTTAGTTCGAACTAACGGACGTTAGCTCGAACTAACTTTGTAGTGTAGACATACCCTGAGTTAGGTGACGTAAGTGCCTACAATTCTTGATAGTTTAAGTTAGGCACCTGCCCAAGAACACGGAAAATAGAGGGGAAGGGCTACCTTCTCCTAGCTCAGTGGTTAGGGTATTCGCTCAGATTGCAGGAGACTCCTGGTGCAAATCCCTCCCTCTGCCTAAAGGGATTTGAACATGGATCTGCCAAGGTCTAGCCAGTGGATTACGGAGTGAGTCTCTCTCTAGATCAGGGTTTCCCAACCTATGGGTCAGGACCCAAATACAGGTCGCCATTACATTTCAAAAGGGTCTCCAAGTGTGTCTCCAGGTGGCTCTGCCCCCCTTCTCTTCCCCCCATTTTTGAATTGCCTTGGGTCACCAAGTCTTCCTAAATTGTCAAAATGGGTCCCCATTTGGAAAAGGTTGGGAACTGCTGCTTATAGCAATTAATATTGAAATTATTTCCTTAGAGTGGAACAACTTCAAGCAGGAAAGATTGGGAAGACTCATATCAGGACACCTCACAGCCCAATGGTTAGAACACTCATCTGACAGGTGGCAGATCCTGGTCACAATTCCCTTTTTCAGGCAGAGGGGCAACTTGAAGCAGGGGTTCAAGTTACTAACCATCTTGGGTGAGTTACTAACCACTGGACTGAGAGGTCCTTTCCCCATCCCCTGAATTGTTTGATACAGAGCTAGGTGGCCTCTAAGCATGCTTACCGGTTTAGGTCTGGCAGGAAAAATGGCTGCTCTTCTGCCTGTCTTCCCCTTGTTTGTGGTTCATGCTTGATCATAAGTGGGAGATGGGTGTACGGATGCCTAGAGTGAAGCAGCAGTGTGAATGCTCAGAGACAGAAATATAAGTGTCTGGAGAACTTTTACTGCAAAACACATGCACCAAATGAATTTAGGTGCCACCAGGGCTAGGCAGCAGCTAAGACTGGGTTTTGTGGATCACAGTAGTACTCAACAATGGGATTTAAGCACCTGTCTTTGTGGGTCCAGGCCTAAGCTTTGTAAACACATTTCTGTCTTACTTTATGTAAAAAGGCAAAGGCCAGGAACGAAACTGGGGTTCACTTTCTACAATACCTATTGTGTGTATGTGCTGCATTGGAAGCAGGCAGGTGAACCCACCCATTTACATCTACATAATCAAATGAGAAATGGAGTTCTGATATTACGGAGCACTGACACAAACCAAACTAAGGGAAATACGACAGGATTTTTTTTTTTTAATATTCATCACCAAGTTCATGGTTTTGTAGTGCATTTTGCAGATCAGACTTAAAAAGAGGAAGGCTACGTGCAAATGCAGTCCCTGCATGCATGCTCACATTTGTACTTGGAATGTCATTTCAACTGTTTGCTTCCATGAGAGCTGCTGATGCACCCAGTTATCTAAGATGTTTGTACTCACGCATGTGAGAGCTTTTCACATGTAAGCCGCCTTTCAGGCTTTGCCTATTTGGCCTGCCAAATTCATGGTCCATTTTGGTCAATTTCTTGATCATGGGATTTTAAAAATTGTAAATTCAGACATTTAAAGCTGAAATTTCATGATACTGTAATCGTAGGGGTCCTGAACCAAAAACGAGTTTTTTGGGAGGAAGCTCAATTTTGGGGGGAGCAAGGGGGTGTTGCGGTACTGCTACCCTTACTTCGGCACTGCTGTTGGCTGGGCAGGTGGAGAGCAGCAAATGTTGGCTAGGATCTCAGCTGTGAAGGCAGAGACGTGGCCACTAGCAGCGCAAAAGTAAGGCTGGCGTGGTACACTGTTGTGACCTTTACTTCCACATTGCTGCCTACACAGCTGGGCCTTCAGTCAGCAGCCGTCTTTATCCAGCACTGCCCATCTCTGAAGATAATGAAGAAGTGTGGAAATACCACGCTCCCTAAACCTTAACCTTGCAACTTCCCCCCTATCCCACCCCGAAACTGCCTCTTGGGTCAGGACCCCCCAGTTTAAAAATGCTGGTCTTCCCTGTGAAATCTATATAGTACTGGGTAAAGCACACAGTACACCAGATTTCACTGTCCATGACATATTTTTCAACTTATAGGTGGTCATAAAATGACACATGATAGCATTTAAGGTGGGTGGAAACAAAAGATCATGAAATCTAATCGTTCAGAAGGAAGTAAATTAAAGTGATTTAGGCAATCGGTTTTAATCACACTTTAAATCAGCAAGCAGGAATCTTGATTAAAATAATTTATTTTAAGTCTTATTTTGCAAGTGTACTTTTAATGATTTTCCATTAAAGGTTGATTCTCATTAGTCAGTAAATATTAAAACATTTTTTTGATTTGCAACCAAATAGAGCCTTTACAACACTGAATTTAAGAACATTAGAATGGCCATACCGGGTCAGATCAATGGTCCATCCGTCTTGGTCTTTATGTCTTTGTATCCTGTCTTCCATAGTGGCCAATGCCAGATGTTTGAGGGAATGAACAGAACAGATAATCAAGTGACCCATTCCCTGTCACCCATTACCGGCTTCTGGCAAGCAAAGACTAGAGACACTACAGTACATGGTTTTGCATCCTTGCCCATTTTGGTTAATACTCACTGATGAAGTCATTCTCCATGAACTTATCTTGACTTTAACCCATTGTCTTGGCCTTCACAACATCCTCTGGCAAAGAGTTCCACAGATTGACTGTGCATTGTATGAAGAAATGCTTCCTTATGTTTGTTTGAAACCTTCTACCTGTTCGTTTAATTTGGTGACCCTTAGCTCTTGTGCTATGAGAAGAAGTGAACAACACTTCCCTATTTACTTTCTCCATGCCAGTTATGATTTTATAGACTTCTCTCCCCCCTCCCTTAATCGTCTCTTTTCCAAGCTGAAAAAAATTTCATTCTTATTAATTGGTACACATATGGAAGCTGTTCCATACCCCTGATTATTTTTGTTGCTCTTTTCTGTACCTTTCCAATATAACTTTTTTGAGATGTGGTGACCAGACTTACACACAGTATTCAAGGTGTGGGTGCACTATGGATTTACAGAGAGGCAATATGATATTTTCTGGCTGGTTATCTATCCCTCTCCTAAGCAGTCCCAACACTGTTAGCTTTTTTGATTGCCACGTCACACTGAATGGATGTTTTCAGAGAATGATCCATAATGACTCCAAGATCTCTTTCTTGAGTGGTAACAGCCAATTTAGACCCCATCATATTCTATGTACAGTCAGGATTATGTTTTCTAATGTGCATTACAGTACTTTGAGTGTATCAACACTGAATGTATCTGCTATTTTGTTGCCCAGTCACCCAGTTTGTTATTTCTTTATATTAACTAGGAGGATAAATGTGTAGAGATAATAGTGTATTTAAGACATTATGTAGACTGTGAGGGAGTGGAGAAAGGAGGGCCCAGCACCCTAAGGGTTAAAGAAGGTTGTTGGGTTCAGCTAGCCTTGTCCCACTCTACCTGTAGCCAATGGCAGACCTGGAGGGAGGAGAAAAAGAAAGGAGCCTGGCTCAATTTGGGGCTGATTAGCATGGAGGCAGGAGCCTGGTTCAACAGTTTAAGGGCATGAACCAGATCCTGTCCACTCAGCAGCCAGGGGAGCAGGTAAGCCCCCAATCTCACCCTCTGGGAAAAAGGGGGGACCTACTGAGAAGCCCCATGTAAGGGGAATCTGGACTCTTGTGACCATGACCCAATCTTAAGGACGTGGATAAGGAGTGGTTTGGAGTTCCTGAGCCAGGAAAACAAGGAGGACATGGGGACAACCCCTTTTGCCTGCTTACTCAGTGGTTTTGCCACTAGGCTACACAGCCACCAGGGACCTGGCCAATAGCCAAACATACTTATTCAGATTATTAAGTTTTTACTGGTGTGCCCCACATCCCAGGAAGTGCTTTAACCCCTGGGTTTAATGTTTTTAGGGAGGCACCACCATCTTCCTCTCTGGACTTTTTGTTTGGAACCAGGCAGGGACTTAACTCATCCCAGCAAAAAGCAATTAAGTCACTTTATCCCCCTAAATCCAGTTTGTGGGTTCTCATTAACAAGAAACAGTCAGAAAAAGCAGAAAGTCACCTAAGTCCAGGCTACAAAGATGTGCCTATCTTCATGGGAGGGACAGGGCTTAGCACATCCTTCTGGTAAGCTTTTTCCATTGACTAGCTTTGACAGTTCAACGCCTAGAGTGCAGGCTTCTACATCTCTCCCCCAATCATGGTAGAGAACACCAAGACACACAACTCAAGCTTTATAGGCTCCAGGGGGTAGCCGAGTTAGTCTGAACAGGATAAACTTAAACAAAAACTGGTCCGGTAGCACTTTATAGACTAACAAAACATGTAGATGGTATCATAAGTTTTTGTGGGCACAGCCCACTTCTTCGGATGACTAGAGTTTTGAGTTTAGGATGTGTAGATCCAAAATAAATAGGAAGAAGGGGAAAGAAAAACAAGAAGGGAGGGTGGAAAACAAGGAGCAGAGGTTATAAAAAAAATAAAAGGGAAAAACAGGAAGGCAGAAGAAGGGTCATCAGTAAGAACCTGAAGATTGGCCAGTTAAAATGAAGCAGATAAGGATCAAAGTCAATAGATGGGGGGGTTACTAACACAGGAATCTACACAAAGAGCTGGTTTGCACCTCAATTGAATGTTAGGTTGGTAATGGCCAAGCCACCCCTCAGCCGACGGAGTCCATTAGCACGAGAATTGAACTTGCAGATGAACTGTAATTCCAACAGTGTAATTCTCTGTGTATTTGGCTGGTAGAGTTTCTTTGTGACAAGACGGCCACCTGGAGATCTTTTAAAGAGTGGTTAGATAGATTGAAGTCCTGTTCAACAGGTTTGTGTATGTTCTCTTTACATATATCTGATTTATGTCCATTGATGCTTTCTCGTAGGACTTTCCAGTCTGTCCAATATACATAGCAGTGGGGTATTTCCAGCATTTGATAGCAGAGATGCCAGTGGTCCCCAACCTTTTGGGGCTCCCGGGCCTGCTCACATGCTGGGCACATTGGGCGGGGCCGCACACGCACCCGGGAGCGGGACCGCACATGTGCCTGGGGGCGGGCCCACCCATACGCCATACGCCCGGTGCTGGCGCCACCCATGCGCTGCATTCCCGGGGTCGGCGCTGCTCCTATGCCACATACCCAGGGGTGGGGGCTGCCCATACGCCACACGCCCGAGACCGGGCCGCTCCTGTGCCGTGCGCCCAGGAGTGGGGTTGCCCATATGCCATGTGCTGGGGCCGAAACAGCCCATGTGCCGCACACCCGGGGACGGGGCTGCCACCACCCATTTGCTGCGTGCCCGGGGCTGATGCCGCCCCTGCGCCGTGCACCCGGGACTGGCACAGGCCTTGCACAGCGCACCCTGGGGCAGGGCCACCCAAACGCTACGCACCCGGGGACAGGCACAACCATGTGCTGCGCACCCAGGGCCGACGCTGCCCATACTCCATGCGCCTAAGGGGCCGGCACTGCCCATGCGCCACGTGCCTGGGGGCAGGGCCGGCCCCGATCACTCAGCGGGCACACAGAAATGGCCCAGCGGGCACCATGGTGCCCGCAGGCACCACATTGGGGACCACTGGCATATATCAAATTACTGGATGTGCAGTTGAATGATCCCTTAATTTGGTAGCTTATGTTGTTGGCTCCAGTAAGCCATGTGTAGCATAGTTGCTGGAAATAATTCATTTTAGGTTGGGGTGTTGTCTGTAAGCGAGAATAGGCTTTTCCCCAAAGATTTTTAGTGAGTGATCATTTTCCAAAATGGGTTGCAGATTGTGTAGAATGTGTTGGATGGGTCTGTGTTGTGGACTATAGGTAATAACAAGTAGAATTCTGTTATTCTCCCTTTTGGTTCTGTCTTGAAGTAGTTCATGTCTGGGTACTTTTTTGGCTCTGTCAATCTGTTGTTTCACTTCTCCAGGTGGGTATTTCAGTTTTAGGAATTCTCTATAAAGATCCTGTACGTGTTTGTCTCTGTCTATGGGATCAGAGCAGACCCAGTTATATCTTAGGGCTTGGCTGTCTACAATAGATTGAAAAATGTGTCTGGGATGGAAGCTGGAGGCATGAAGGTAAGTGTAGCGATAGGTGGGTTTCCAGTATAGGATGGTGAAGATTTGGTCATTATTTAATTGTTCTGTAGTGTCCAGGAAATGGATTTCTCATGTGGACTGGTCCAGGCTGAGTTTGATGTTGGGATGGAAGTTGAAGAATTTCAGAAGGATTTCAATGGGAGTCTCTTTTCCGTGGGTCCATATGATGAAGATGTAATCAATGTAGCATAAGTAAAGTAGGGACATTAAGGGACGAGAGTTGAGGAAACATTGTTCAGGTCAGCCATAAAGATGTTGGCATATTGTGGTGCCATGCGGGTGTCTATTGCTGTGCCTCTGACTTGGAGATACAAATTATCTCTGAATTGGAAGTAGTTGTGGGTGAGGGCAAAGTCGCAGAGCTCTGTAATCAAGTGTGCAGTGCTGTTACCGGGGATGGTGTTCTTAATAGCCTGTAATCTGTCTTCATGTGGAATGTTGGTGTAAAGGGCTTCTTTGTCCATAGTGGCCAGGATGGTATTTTCAGGTAAATTACTGAAGTTTTGAAGTTTCCTCAGGAAGTCAGTGGTGTCACTGAGGTAGCTGGGAGTGCTGGTAGCATAGGGTCTGAGGAAGGAGTCGATATAGCCAGATAATCCAGTAATAAATGTGCCAATGCTTAAGACTATGGGCCATCTGGGATTTCCAGGTTTGTGTATTTTGGGTAGCAGATAGAAAGTTCCTGGTAGGGATTAGAAGGGGTGTTACTGTAAATTTCTTCCTAAGCAGCATCAGAAAGCTTCATGGGCAGTTTTTTCAGGGTTTTTTGGTATTCCTTAGTGGGGTGATAGGAAAGAGGCTTGTAGAATCTGGTATTGGTGAGTTGTCTGTTTGCTTCCTGTTCATAATCGGTCTTGTTCATGATGACTACAGCACCTCCTTTGTCTGCCCCTTCTCTCCTATTTATTTTGGATCTGTGCATCCTAAACGCCGGTCATCTGAAGAAATGGGCTGTGCCCACGAAAGCTCATGATACCATCTACATGTTTTGTTAGTCTATAAAGTGCTACCAGACGAGTTTTTAAGTTTATCAAGCTTTATAGATCACAGTGTTGTTCCCATGATTTTCTAGGAGAGCTAAAAGTTAGGTGCTGTAATGCTAAGTGTTGCAACACCCGAATCCCTGCATGGACCCCACCATCAGCCCAGCAGAAATTCAACTTACGCATAAAAATTTGTCTTCCACAGATTGACGTGAAGTATAACATACATAACTGCAGCAGCCAGGAAAATCACTAGAAGAATCCGTTTCATGACTTGCAGACCTGAAATGCAACAAGATGAAATAATTTTGTTTTACACTTATTTTCACAAACATGTTTTGGTGGGATGGGGTAAATGGTCATCATCACTATTTACTACATTTAATTCAGATCCATCAATTTGATCAAAATGGTTCCTCAGGCCTTAAAATCTATCAAAAGGGTTGCAGGGTCCCTTAAGCTTAGGCATTCAAGAACTCAGTAACAACATCTTAATGCTTATGTTCCTCCGCACTTATCAACATGAATATTTCAATACAGCAAACATATTTATTTACATAAGGTAAACAAAAATACTGGCCAATGACACTGAAATAGGACAAGATATGATCTTAGAAACCTACCTCTCATATTGCTAATTGTAATTGGCATTGCCTTTTTCTTTTTTCCCCCATCACAATTTATTAAAGTCAGACTTTAATCAATGGGCTATCCAAAGTCATGTTGTGATTGGCTTCTTAGACCTTCTTAACGATGTCTCACATCTGTCCTCTAATTCCTCCAGTTCCTGACAGGGGTTTCACTGTGGAGAAAAGAAAGCTACTCATTATTTTAATTGAGTCAGAGGATAAGTTAGACTCAAGCTCAGAAGAGCATGCCCCTATTCAATTTGTGAGAAATAGCAGAAAAAGACTAAACCTTTTTTTAAAGTTTTCACTTAATTTTGGGGTGTTAAGAAAACAATTAGAAAACCCATCCTGCTGAGCCAGACAAAGCGAAATGCTTGAAGAGTAAAAGTAACAATTTCAAATGACCCCTCTTCCAAATTACTATACTACCCTTTTGGCGGCTATAAATAGACCATCTGTCACTTAAGCCACTGAAAGTAGCGGTTCGGATACAAAATGATTTTCGCTTTTCCCTCTATTATGAAAAGTACTTGGTAACAGAAGGCTATGTTGCATATGTAAAAAGTATGGGGCCTGCATATGTTTTTTAAAAGGAGAATTAAGGCTAATAAGCCACACACTAATAGAAACCAGTTACACCAGACTTGGGCAAAATACGGCCCGTGGGCAAAATCCGGCCCGCCAAGCCCCTGGATCCAGCCTGCAGAAACTGTGGAAAACCCCAAGCAAGCTCCCTGCTTGCCTCGCCCCACCGCGTGCTGCTCAGAAAGTAGGGCTGCCAGATGGTTTCAACAAAAATACTGGACACACTTTACATTACATCACAATCTACATTACATCTTATTTAGAAAATACTGGACAGTTATATTTTCTCATTTCTATTTTCTCAATTTGTTTCCCCGAACAGAAAGCTCAAATATTAGACTGTCCGGTTCGAAACCGGACACCTGGCAACCCTATCAGAAACACGGCTGTTGAGTAGTTTTTCTTTAAAAGCTGAGTTGGGGGTGGGCGGAGTTTTAGGAGCTGCTTTTGCCCCCTGCACAATCCCATTGACTAGGTTCTGTCTGTTTCAATAACAGGCAGCCATGAAGCAGGAGGGACTCCAGAGCCCATGGCTACAGCCTGTGCAAGGGTAGGGCAGGCAGCAGTGCTCCCTCTAAGATGCATATCAACACAACTTCATCCTGACCCAGTTAGAGGCTCAGGGCTCCATGCACAGAGCTGACTGACTAATCACCTGTGAAGCTGTGCCGTCTCACAGCTTACAGGGAATACTGGCTGGCAGGGAGGCTGATTCAGGAATGGGCTGCTGGCTGGTAAGTCTCCTTGCCTGACCCTACCTCTTAGCACCCCAGCCCTTCCCTTTCCCCAACCCTCTGTCCCCCACTCCACAAATCCCTGCCCCAGATCACAGTCCCCTCTTGCCCTAGCTCACAACCCAAATCCCTGCACCCCCTCCTGTGCCCCAATTCCCTGCCCTAGGTCACAATCCAACCCCCTGCACCCCAGTTCAGTGCCCCAGGTCATAACTGTCTCCTGCACCCAAACTACCTTCTGCACCCAACCTCCATCCTAGACCCCCGCATCTCCTCGATTAATATCATGGAAGAGTGCAGCTCTCAACCACTTTCCAAATTCTTGGACTGGCTCCCCCATCAAAAAAAATCATTGCCCACCCTTGAGTAACATCAATATGCACATATTGGTATATTTCTCAGGTAGTTGGAAGCACTCTGCCTTTGGCCTTATAACTCTATGCACAGCCTGTTATGGAACACATGCAGAGTGTTTTAAGCAGAATCAGGCTTGTGTTTGTTTTCCTAGCAGTATGTTTGATGTAATTCATAAGTGCAGGTGTCTTACACTGCTAGGAAAACAAACATAAAACAGGTGATTATAAGATACTACCGCATACATTGCTGCAGCCTATTGCCAAAACCAGATTACTGCAGCATGAAAACTAACAGAAAGCTCACTGACAACAGTAGTACAGTCCATATGGACTTTGACCCTTAAGGAGGATCCATGCACCTGCTCAGAGCCCCAGTGATTTCAAGGGCCTTTCTCATGGAACTGATTACAAGACTGGAGCCACGGTTTGTAATGACATCCGTAGGTAAAGAACCCATGCAATACACAAATCTTATTTCAAACCGAGGAAGGGCACACGATCACCCTCAGCATTGTCTTGATTTACTGTTCTAAATATTAACTAAGCTGCCCTTTCAATTTTAACCCTTCTCATATCACCTTCCGCATGCATCTCCTCTGTAACTTTAGCTTAATCCAGACCACATACTTTTGCCATAGTCCAGATTTCTTCCACTTTTGGGGCACACAGTAAAACTGTGATTTCCACAAGCCCTTCTCCTGAAGCTGCAAGGAAACTGTAACCAGCATAGCCTGTCTGTTAGCAGCATTCTAGAGGAGCACAGAATGTCTGGCACAGGACTCTTCTGCCAGGAATGGACACAATGATTTGTTAAAAACAGTCATCAAAACTGAGCCTCTCTGACCCCTGCAACCACCTGCACAGCAGGAGACAATGATATACTGGTGAGTAACATATACTAACCACCTGGTCCACCTCCCACTTCAGTCAGTGCACATAGGAGTGAATCAGCTGAAGACAATGGATCAGATTTTCAGTTGTAGCAACTCATTCAATTCACTGATTTCACTCACTTCAGCTATGCATTTAAAGTGGATTAGGAGCCAAATGGGCAGGCAGCCTGGATCAGTTTCAACTCATGCAGCTCAGACCCTGTCCTGGAGGGGGCAGGACTACTGGCACCCCATACTACTGCCTCTGATACAGAGGCAGCAGCACAAAGTGGAAGGGGGCTCCTCGGGAGGGGCCAGAGCACATTGGCTACTGGTCCCACCCCTGGGAACTATAGAATAGTCGAGTAGCTGATAAGAATTCATGAGGTTAATCAACTATTCAATTAACCGAGATTAAACATCCCTGCCCCTTATAGCCTTTGTTAGAACAACTAATAAATTCTAACTAGAAAAAAAGTTAAATTCTCAGCTCATAAACTGTATTTCAACTTAGGCTTTAAAGCAGTGGTAGACAGATAGCTTAGTTTTTAATAACTGCTTAGTATCCCTCCTTACCCTCAAAGAGAAATTTAAAAAGCAAAAAGAACATAATTAACTTACTCAAGAGTCATATTACAAAATGTCACTATATTCATTAATACAGAAATGCCATATGAAAGTAACTATGTTACAAGACCATCACCAAGGATGTAAAGTGAAGCACTCTCAAGTAAAAAAAATGCTAGAATTAAGGTTTCTCATGAAATCTTAACCTTCCTCCCATTATGAGTGCTTTAGGATACAGTTTTTAATCAGGTTAAAATACTGATTCTTCCCACAGGATGTGAGAAGTTTGTGTGGTGAATTATGCTGTTATGAATGGGATCCTTGGCTCATTTGCTGAAGAACTTAGGTGCATTTTCAACATTGACAGCATTTACTGGTTTTATTCCTATAAAAAAAAATCTATGCAAATACCAGACATGGAAAATTCCAGACCCAAAGGTTGCAAGAAAATAAGCTACTGAAGACAGTTTCCATGCAAAATGTTAGGCAACCAATGCGGGCTGCCTAAATCAAATGAAGGATGTCATGTTCGCTTTGGCTTGGCTTTTGCCTCAAGAGCCACTTCAGTGGGACTCTGAATGGTATGGACAAAACAGTTTGTGTTAGTAGATCTTTATAAAAGATCAGAAATGAAACTGGTCATTCTGAAAAATATCTGAGGATATTCTACCCTCGTTTATCCCAAAGTTACTCACCTGGAGCCCACGGGGGGCATGCACGTAACTGAAAGCAGAAGTTGCGCAAGGTAACTTTAAGTTACTTCAAAAATCTATTGCATAATTCAAATCCTTCCTCCTTAGAGTGCTGTGATAAATGGAACCAGAAAGAAAAGTTAAGGATACAGGCTCCAGTTAGAGTGGCACGGCTATTAAATTATGAGGGAGAACCTATGGGAGCAGGGATCATTTGTAATATATTGAAAACTGTGCTATCCTTTCCCAGTAGTGGGTTTTATCCAGTGGAGGTACCAGAGGTAATAGACAGAGTTGGCTTTGCCCATCACATTTTTAGTCACTATAACCTTTGTGACTACAACTTGGATCAGAGTGTATCAATTTTGCCAACCCACTTTCAGAAGACATCATTTGCCACTAACATGATCTTTCCTTAAGAAATACCATACATGTCCAAATACCTTATTCAATCAGCTACTAGCCATTCACACACAACTAGGCTATGTCTACACTCGTGGTGTCAGTAAAGAGACCCAGGATGAAATAGTCCATGACACCTCTAGGACAGGGGAGTTCATTCTGCCTGCCTAAGCCCTGGTGTACTCTACAATGTCAGGTTGAGGTTAGCTGCATTAGGTCAATTTTACAACGAATGAATCCACACCACCAAGCCCCTTCTGCTGACCTTACAGGCTTTTAAAACTGACGGTTGAGCTCTACCGAAGCAGTGCTAAAACTCAGCCTTCTGGGGTATTGCAGAAATAGTGCTGTTCAAGTCGACACTCAGACTATGGGAGGTGTCCCAATAAGATCGCTCTGGCCAGCATTTTCAACTCTGCTGCATTCCCTGGTGCATAGGAAAAGTCCCAGAAACTTCTGAATTTCATTTCCTATTTGGCCAACATGGTGAGCCCAGCAGCACACCTGACCATTAATGCCCAGGATCACAAATTCTGAACCATAATAGAGATGTAGCTGTGTTAGTCTTTGTAGCTGTGTCAGGTTTAAGTTGGGGGCTATAGGTGATGACAAGGTGATGACAAAACCAACAATAGAACACCACTTGTCATCACCTATACCCATAGTCTCCTATAGACAACCACCTAACCTAAGGATGATTCTTACCAACATCCACAGGACATACCACACTAATACCAACCCTGGAACTTTTCCTTGCAACAAACCCCGTTGCCAGCTTTGTCCACATATCTACTCTGCTGACACCATTATTGGACCTAACCAATTCAGTTATAAGATCAAGAACACATATTCCTGCTTCATCCAGAAATATAATTTATGTCATCATGTGCCAACAGTGTCCATCTGCTATGTACATTGGACAAACGTCTCAGACACTTCGCCAAAGAATCAATGCACACAAAACGGGTATCAGACAGTATCACAAAGAAAAAAGTTTCTTGCCATTTCAACCAGAAAGGGCATTGTCTCAATGACTTGATTACCTGCATCCTGCTACAAAGGCACTTTAACACCAGACTTGAAAGAGAAACCTCTGAACTGTCATTCATGCTTAAATTTGACACTTTACGCCGGGATCTTAACAAAGACGCTAATTATCTTACCCATTACAAAAGATAGCTTCCCCAATTATCACCTCTAATATCATTAGCTCCCAGCCATTTCCCTTTCCCCCCCTTAACCCCCCCCCCCCGTTCTGAAATTTGATTTGTCCTTTTTATGTATGTTCACTTTTTTTGATTGTATCCCTTTGGTATATATGGTCATGCCTACTTTCTTCCACAATTTGATCTGAGGAAGTGGGTCTAGCCCACAAAAGCTCATCACCTAATAAACCATCTTGTTAGTCTTTAAAATGCTACATA